CTGCTGCTTTTCCAGTTTTCAGCATCTTTATTGTCTTCAGGATTTCTGCTCTCAAGGGAGAGTTGGTATCCACCGGTAGTTCTGCTTCCGCTGTTGGTATTATTGGGCGCGTCGTAGGTGGTGGTCGATTAAGAAGTCTTTTGAAGTGTTCAGCCTAGTGATTCCTTTGCTCCACTTCTTTGTTGTTTGACTTTCCATTGTCATCCTTCACTGGCTTAATTTGTGTTGAACTTTCCCCGATAGGAACCTGGTTGTTTGGTAGAATGTTGCGAGGTATCTTTCACCTGCAGCTTTTTTTGCTTCACTAGCCATAGCTACATCATATTGTCCCTGCCTTCCCTGGCACTTTTATTCACTCTTTTATTCAGTGTATTGTAGCTAGCATTCAACTCCTGTTTTTGTTGCTCATATATGCACTGGGATAATCCTTTGTTTCAACATCCTGCTCTCTTCTATTAGTCTCCATGTGTGTGCGTGTATGTGTGTAGCGAGCCGCTGTTTGCCCTGTCTCTTCTTTCTGCCTAGAACTTCCATGCAGGTTTGACTCCACACGGCTTTCAGGCTGTTCCAGTGCCTTTCAATGCTGGTCTCTTCACTAGTGTTGATTTGTGTCTCCGCCTTTTCCCTGTTGATTGCGGTGAAGATATCCTTTGTTTTTGAGTACTGAACTTGGCTTGTAGTATATCTGCAGCTCCTATTTCTTTGAAAGCTTTTAATTTGCTTTGGAGTGTTCCTTGTACAAGATAGTGGTCTGAGCCGACGTCTACTCCTCTTCTTACTTTAGTGTCCAGTAAGCTCCGTCTCCACTTCCTTGAAATTGAGATGAAGTCAATTTGGTTTTTGGTTCGCCCGTTTGGTGACACCCATGTAGCCTTGTGGATATTCTTGTGCTTGTATACGCTGCCACCAATCACTAGTTCATTGAAGGAGCAGAAGTCAGCGAAGATCCCTCCGTTTTCATTCACCTCTCCGAGAGCTTATCTACCCATAATGAGTTCTCTTCCTGTGTTGTCTGGTCCCAGTTTGGCGTTCATGTCTCCCATTAGTATTTTAATTTCACCGACTGCAGTATTGTCCATTGTTGCCTGTAGTTGTCTGTAGAACTCTTCTTTCTTTCCGAGGTCTGCGTGGTTTATGGGTGCAAAGCACTTTCATCCCTTTGGAGTTGAATCTGGCGGTCATTATCCTGGGCGAGATCGCCTCCCATTGCATAAGTGCCTTCGTTGCCACTGGTGACATCATGATGGCCACACTCTCGGTGTTCTCGTGGTTGTCTTCTGGGTGACCGGAGTGGATCATCGACTCTCCCGTTGACAATTTGGTGAGTCCACTCCCATTCCACCTGCTTTCGCATATTCTCAGTACTTGAATTCCATATCTTATCATCTCGTTAGCAATCTGAGCAGCTTTGCCAGTCTCATACATGGTGTGGATGTTCCATGTCCCTACATGGACTTTTACTTTTGTCGCAAGGAGACTCATCGTGCTGAAGTTTCTGTAGCAACTTTGTTTACAGGGTGAGGTTGCCAGCCTCAAGCCTGAGAAGGGGTTTGTTACATGAATGCTATAGGTTACTAAGGGAGCTACATTTTAGATCGCTCCTCTTAGTCTCCCCGACCGAAAGCTGCTACCTTGACGTGGTGGTCGGGCTTGAACACCGCAATGACCTATTCAAGCTATACTGGCTGAGACTTATGTCTCTTGAGGTCCTACCATGCCAGGCAGGTTGTTTGGATAGCGGTTAAACAAAAAGCAGCTACCCAATCCAACATCATGATCAATACAAAATCACAAAATTTCATGCCGGATCGGCCGTGGCCCGGATTAACAACGACCGCGCTTCCTGCTGCCGTGTCACAGGGCAGGAGTGATAAGTATGCTACTGAGACACACAAAACAATAAAGAACAAACAAAAGCAGGCCGCGTGTGACCGGCCTCAAGCAGTTGTCCCCTGGGCTCTGCGGTCACGCAACCAACTTCCACGGTGTGGGCAGCCGGGAAGTAACAATCGCCCTCACAATCCGAAATGCACGCGAAACCTCTCTATTACTCACTCATCTTTGTCTTCATCTTCATCTCTATCATCTTGCCTTCCTTCCACTGATGCAACTCCTCGACTTGATAGCTCTCCACTTCCTCTCCACTCTGCGTCCACTAAAAACGATGGAAGCCAAAAAACCACCACCGACAGCCTCTTAAAGCCGCGCCACCAATTTCATATAGGAGCTTTTAATGTTAGGACACTTTGCCAAATAGGACAACAAGCATCACTAGCCAAGACCCTGGCATCCCGAGCCATTGATGTATGCTGTGTTTCAGAAACACGCATACAAGACCCAAGTGTGGTTATTCACCTAACCCCACCTGGCCAACAGGTTGAATCTGCAAAATTCACCTTGAGGGTGTCAGGAGATGCCACAGCTAGTTCACGAGGATTAGCTGGTGTAGGGATAGCTTTGAGTACTAGGGCAGAAAAGACATTGCTTGACTGGATCCCGGTAGATAGCCGAATGTGTGCTGTCCGTCTGAACGGATCAGTAAAAAGGAGAAAGGACTGCACTACTCGCCGATGCCTTTTCGTAATCTCCGCCTACGCCCCCACTGACTGCAGTTCAGATGAAACGAAGGATGAGTTCTACCAAAAGCTGTCTAGTTTGGTGCGAAAGGCTAAACGCTCAGACATAGTCGTTCTAGCTGGTGACTTTAACGCTCAAGTAGGGAAATTGTGTCAATCTGAGAAGGATGTCGGTGGCACCTATGGAGTTCCGTGCCAGCGAACCGACAACGGTGACCGTCTCCTACAGTTCTGTTCTGATAATCATTTGTTTCTTGTAAGCACTAACTTCAAACACAAGGAGAGACACTGTTTGACTTGGAGACCCCCTTCATCAAACCAACGCTGGACACAAATAGACCACATAGCAATAAGCTATCGTTGGCGTGGGTCGGTAGGAGATTGTCGCTCCTTCTGGAACACTTGTGTAGATACCGACCATGCACTGGTCCGCGCTCGGGTGTGCTTACGACTGAACGGACGTAGGAAACAGCTGGCGGTAAAACCATCACGTCCCCAGCTCGATCAGGAAACTAAATCCGTATTTGAGGAAGAACTAGCTAAACACATATCTGTGTTCGACAGCTGTGCTCACCCTGAAGAAGCTTGGAAAAATATCCAGGCAGCCATAGATACAGCTGTAAAAGCTGTGAATAAGGTAAACCCAAAGGTGAGTAAAAACCACTGGATCTCCACCGCCTCATCCGAACTGATAGATGCTAGAAGACTTATTCCGGCGAGCTCCGAATTCAATGAGGAGCGAAAGCTGCACAAGAGGAAACTTACGAAAAGTCTCCGCAAGGACCGTGAACAGTGGTGGGCGACAAAAGCCAAAGAGATGGAGAAAGCTTCGAGGATAGGCAACACCAGGCAACTATTTAGACTCATCAGGGAAACGGGTGGGAGAAGACAAATCATTAGTGAAACAATCTCGGAAAAAAATGGCACTATAATTAGCTCCCAGGATAGACGACTGGATCGTTGGAAAGAGCATTATGAGGAGCAGTTTAATTTGCCCACAGCCACGCTCAACCTTCCGAGCATCCAACACCTCCCTGAATGGGATATAGACACAGGTCCTCCATCCCTAACTGAGGTTACTAAAGCTGTCACCAATCTGAAACTAGGCAAAGCAGCGGGACCTGATGGAATGACTCCAGAGGTATTTAAGTACGGTGGAGACAGCTTACTGTCTGCATTAACTGAGGTACTAGGCAGCGTCTGGGAATCAGAAGAAGTCCCATCGGGTTGGTGTAAGTCACTGATTATCCCCATATACAAGAGTCAGAAAAACAAGGAATAAAGCAATCGGAACAAAAGTTAGTCATTAAAGTGACCAAAAACATCATGAATGACATTATTTTGGTTGCTAGTGACATGAGCAGAATCAGGGATGGGCGTTTCGTGAGTTGGATGTAACTGCATCCCCAGTGAGTGGTGTTCTTACTGAGTCTATAATTCTGCATTCTTAGTAGCAAACGACAAACTGTTAGGCAGCCAGAAATGAAAATGAACCTAAACAAGCATCGATTATAAACTACAAAGATGCAGTGGCAAGGATATTCGCGCATTATATAGTCAGCTACATGTGTTAATATAGGTTTGTAATTAAATTTACTTTTCAACTAATCAGATTACTGAAAGCTAAATGTTTTGTAACAAATACATTAGAGAAATAGATCATAACAGTCAATTTATTAGAATAAGTAGTCCAAATCTTGAAAAATTTTTTACTTAGAAAAAGTTCTATCATCAAATACGTTCTTAATTGCTGAAAACATGATTAAGTGAAACAGGTAATGGTAGCTCTAAGGATGATAAAACCTCTAAGTGTTGTTTGACAGAGATTTGACTGACTATAATTCAGTTAACAAACCTACTTCATTTAGAGAATCATTAGAAACTAGGGATTGCTGGACAGTTGTTTCGTTCTAGTTTGGGACTCTTCAGTCATGACCCGACTGGGGATCGAATCCAGAGTGAGAACAGATACTCTACGACATCTATCAGTCGCACTACACATCCCGAATTTGTGGACCACTGGGTTCTGCCTAAGTGGCTGAATTGCCAATGGGCTCACTACACAACCTGAAGGTCCTATGTTCGAACCCAGACAGGTTCATGGGTGAGTACTGCTGATAAACCTCAAACTAGGTTTCCAGTAGTTCTCCAACTGAATGCAATTCGTGAACTAAGTTGATGACAAAACTATCAAGGTACACACACATTGTAAAATGAAGCTAGAATTTCGCAAATTTTCGAATAAAATGGCAGGGAAATTCAGAACGACCCAATTTTCAAAAGTTACTTCAATAGCAATCAAGTACAACAAAAGTCACTTAAGGCTTATCCAAAATCTAATTAGGTGAATTAAGGTGAGTATACGAATTCATTAGCAATAAGAAAAACAAAACCAAAACTACAAATTACGTAACAACTGCTTACCTCTAATAAGAGATGATATTTCAGTACACGTTGAATAGGGATTGTAAGTAATTCCGCCAAAGCAAATTTATTATACTTTTCAGAATTTGATTGACAAAGCTATAAGAAAATTTCAGATGATGGAGACGCAGGCAAATTCTTGAGTTTAAATAACTTCGAAAATCAAGAATTTATATGTTAAATTAATTTCCAGAAATTCTACAAGTACACTTCAAGTGCAATTGACTTATCATTTAAAAGTATGATTACATCAAGATCTTAAACTTCTGATCTGTCAAAATGGTAAAGTAAACTTGTTTATTTCAAACTATAACTGTCACAATACTTTGCTGAAGAAGCAGCGAAGACAGAACTGTAGGTGAACAAAAAGAAGACGAAGGTGATGAAGGTAACCAACAATCGGTACTACTTACCATTATGGGAGAGATTTAACAGAGGTTACCACCTTCACTTATCTAGGAAGCATCCTTTCAACTACAGGCTGCTGGAACGGATGAGGATGTCAAAGTCAGAATCGGAAAGGCGAGATACGCCCTCATCAATGTGAAACCAGTTTGCGAATCTTCTACACTCAGCATAAGGAACAAGATTCGCATTTTCAACACCAATGTCAAGTCGGTCGGTGCTTCTATACCAGTCAGAAACTTGCACAGGGAGTGCGTCACGAAGAACATTTCCAACAGGTCATTTCATACTTTTATCAACAGCTGATTTCGCCGGTTCTAAATTGAATATCAAATGGCTGGCCAGCCACAAAATATTAGCAACAAGGAACTCTGACTGGAAACGAACCAGCCAAGAGCCGAGTGCTTAGCATATATGTAGGAGTAAATGGAGATGGAATGATAGGGCATACTTTGAGGAAGCCGTCGGATGACATCACGCGCATTGGAGGCTATTGCTCAAGTGGAGTTGAAATGGGAAGCGACGAGTGGGTTGTCGATGTGATAGTGAAATACAGGAGATCGTGTAAGGATGCCCATTATCCCCTTTTCTATTCAACTTCATCATAGATGTGTTAATGGACTTAACCCTAAGTGACTTCAGCGACTCAGGGATTGACTTGCTACCAGGGTGGGAATAATCTCGTTGACTTGGAATATGCAGACGATATAGTCTTTCTAGGCGAAGACGCTGACAAAATGCAGAGTCTTCTAAACACCTTGAACAGTAATCTACGAATGTTTGGCATGCGATTCGCTCCCGCCAAATGCAAGATGATGTTACAGGACTGGACTACATCGACGCCTAGTTTAAAAATAGGAAGTGAAGTGGTAGAGCACGTTGACCGCTTCACTTATTTGGGAAGTACCATCAGCCCCAACGGGCTGATCTCTGACGAAATCTCAGCACGAATACAAGGGGCTCGTTTCGCATTTGTTAGTTTACGCCGTCTCTGGCGTAGACGAGATGTTCGACTATCGACCAGAGGGCGGGTGTACTGCTCATCAGTCCGCTCCGTCCTCCTTTATGGTTGTGAGACCTGGCCACTGAGAGTGGAAGACATGAAAAGACTAGCTGGCTGTCTTTGATCATAGGTGCCTGCGTTCTATTTCCCGTGTAAAGTGGCATAATAAGGTGAGCAACATTGAGGTTAGGCGTAGAGTTCTAGGTAAACAGGGGAAATCAATCGACGGAGTCGTGAAGCTACATCGACTGAGATGGTTAGGACATGTGTTACGTATGCCAAGTCATCGCCTCCCTCGACGAGCTATGTTAGCTGACATAGGGTCAGGCTGGAAAAGAGCTAGCGGCGGTCAAACCAAAACATGGCTTCACCAGTCAATGAAATCTACAACAGTTAGTCTAAGCCACGTAGGAAGGTGTATACTTCCTGTCTGGTTGGGGTCCTCGGGACGGTAAAAATCTATGGTTGGAAACAATTGGTGACATGGCTCAAAATCGTTCTCAGTGGCGCAGATGCATCCACTCCTTGTGACTTATGATCTCCAATGAAACTGTTTTGTATTTCTTTATTACTCCTTTGTCTCACACCTCTGCTCACTGTCTCTATTATGCTTTTCTTGTACTTTCTTCTCTTCCTTCGCGTACTACACGGAATGTGGCGACTTGAACTGGCGCACATTTGTGCAAAGTTCTATGTCGAAAACAGACAGACAGACAGATCGTGTAAGGAAGGCAATCGTAAACGAAGATGAAGAGAACAGTACCAACTATCCAACGAAAGCAAAACGAAAATCTCCCTGCTAAATATAAAGAAAAACCTCGCCTAGTTTACTAGCTCGCTAGTTTTCTAGCCAGTCCTAAGCCTAGAAAAACACGGAAGATTGAGCCTGGGGTTAGCGACGAGACCCAAAAAATCAATACAATCGCTACAGAAACTTCAAAGCACGGGAAAAAATATCAACACAAACGTATTCTTCGCTGGAATTGGAGAGATGAAATGACGCGGGCTGGTAGAGACCTTCAAAAAGCCACTCAGCCGATGTGTCCTTTATCGATGAAAGCAAATTTAGAGAGAGGGAACGTGGAATGTCAGTAAATTGTACGAAGTTGGGAAGGCTGCCCAGGTCGCCAAAGATATGAGAGAATATGGTATAGAAGGGTTAGAAATCAGTGAGAGCATGTGAAATGGGTGTGGACTGAACAAATTGTTAAATCAAGAGTCAACAATCTACTTTAGTCACTCAGACGATAGCCACAAGGGAATGGCTATCATGATATCACCAACAACAGCCAAAGCTCTTATGCGGCGGGAACCAATCTCTTCCAGGATAACGGCAGCAATATTCAACTGAAAAGGAAGGAAAGTCACTATTATCTCAATGGTACGCACCTACAGACAACTCAGAACAACGGAAGGACAATTTTCATGGACAACTGAAAACAGCAACGGACAAATCGCAAACAGCTGCATCAAAATCCCAATGGGTGATATGAATGCTAAACTGGAAGCAGACAATACAGGAGGAGGATTCATCATGGATTGAGAGGCTCTCGACGAAATGAATGACAATGGAGAACTCTTATCAAACTTCTCTGAATTTGTTGATTCGGTGATTGGAAGCAGCATGTACAACCACAATTATATACACTAGGTAACATGAATTTCACCAGACAGACACACAAAAATTCAGATAGACTTCATCTTAACCTCAAGAAAGTGGAGATGTAGTCTGACTGATTGACTGATTTCAATACTGAACTTTACAAAGATGTACAGCAGGTCGAGTTGCCATACTCCATTTAGCACACAAAGCAAGAGAAGAGAGTAAACAGAGGTTCAAAAGATAGATGATAAACACAAGTGTGAGCCAAAAATAAAAGTGAGATGGATAACATGTGAGTTTGATTTGATATGGTGAATGCATCTGCGCCAGTCACTGAGAACGATTTTGAGTGATATCACCAATTGTCTTCAGACATTGATTCTTACCATCCCGATGGCTCCAACCAGGAAGTCTACACCTTCCTACATGACTAGCTTAAACTCGCTGTTGCAGATTTTATTGACTTATGAAGCGATGTTTTGGTTTGACAACCACTAGCCAACTCTCTTCCAACCTGATCTTATGTCAGCTAACATTACCCGTCGAGAAAGGCGATGGCTAGGCATGAGTAACACATGCCCTAACCATCTGAATCGCTGTAACTTCACAGCCTCGTCGACTGATTTCCCCTCCTCACCAAGCACTCGAGATACAGTCTGCCAAACACAAAGTCAAGTGATATTTGGGGAAACGTGTACAGCCGTTTCAGGAAAAAAAGATACAAAACAAGGATTGGCTGTCTACGGATAAATGCAGGCTAATACAGATGAGGATGATGAAACAAAAGATGAACTGATGCAAGCATGAACAACAGAATGAGAAGATGAGTTCAATGCATAACGCACTGAATAAAGAAATGAAGAAGAGTGCTAAGAAAGACAGAAGGAATTCCATAGCTCACTGCAAAATGAAGCACAACAGGAAGCAGGTGAAAGAGACCTTGGGACATTATATCAGATAACCAGGTCTCTATCCATGTAAAGGTCAACGCAGATGAAACCAATAAACGATGGTCAAGAAAGCCTAATTACCACACAGAAGGGATAAATAAAACAATAGACTAATCACTTGGAAGGACTCTTGAATCCACCATCACCTGCAACTCGTCCAGAAATACCATCAACACCAGGAACACAATTAGCAGTGGACACCAATCCTCCAACAAAAGCAGAATTTTTGAATTCACGAAAAGTACTTCTAACAGGCTGAAGAACTTTATCAACAGCTGCCTTCGCTGGCTCCATATTAAAGATCAGATGGCCAGGAAGGATCATCAACAAGAAACTCTGGGAACGAACCAGTCAAGAGCCTATTGTTCAATAAACATGCCCAAAAAATGGAGATGGATAGGACACACGCTGGGCAGAGTGCCTTCAGGTGGAACCCGAATGGGAAACGAGTTAGGCGTTGGCCTGAGGGTGACATGGAGGAGATCGTTTGAAGAGGAGACGAGAGCCTATGGAGAATCTTGGGGCAGATGAAGAGGACTGTGGAGAACAGGACAAAATGGATATTTGCTGTTGAAGTCCTATATTCCAGTCGGAATCTAAAGGAATAATAATAAAAACAATATATGAAGAACATTTCTGAGTTCACCGGCAAACTGCTGAATGCCTTATGCAACATATGTCGCACACAAACTAATACGATAGCTGCACTCCGTATTATATAGACCAAAGGATCAAACACCAAATGATAAAACCAACATCACCTATAAGATAGATTACATCAACTGGCTAGAGAGAATGTTCCCTGTTACCTTCAAATACATGAACATTCACAAACAATCAAAAGGAGTGACATGTACTCATTCATATCAATTCACTTGACAACTTTAGATATCAGTTAAGCTGGTAAAATGTAAAAACCTAGGCAGAGCAGGTATGAAGAGTATTAGAGAAGTTTGGTACCCAGATCAAGTTGTAATTAACAGGTATGTGGATACAGATCAATTTATCGATCAATAAAGGATGAAAAAGGTCAATGTGATGGTCAATATTGATATAGGTGAGTGTAATCCCAAGAAAATTCCCATCATCAACGGTTAAGATTGCCAGGAAGTATGGATATTTTATTCACTGATAATTAAGAAAGCTCACTTCACACTAAAACTAACTTTGAAGACGTCTGGAAGGATAATGTAAGCTTCGTGATTAAACTACTAAGTTGCATTTCCACCTTACATGTATATCACTACATGCTGTCTGCAGTGTGTCCTGCCTAAATAGTGATATTTCAGAATGTTTAATTTATCACAGTGATATCCTTTCACAATTTAACCTAACTCCGTTTTGTGTACAGATCTTCATGAAGTGTTTTCTTTACGAGTAAGACTCGTAATTACAGCTGTAGAGAACAGGCTGACATATCTTACCTATTAGAAGTGAGCACTAAACAGTAGTAAAGTTGCCTGCACAACTCCATACATTACTACTGTGGATAAGAAAAAAATTAAAGCTAGCAAAAAATGAATAATAAGGTGAATGAATAGCTAGTGGCACTATATCATGATGTTATGAATAGGTCTGAATCAAAGTATGATAAGACTATAATTATGAAAAACAAAAAGTTGTCATTGAATTGTATTCACTAGAGTAATACTTTAATTTCCAATTTTCATTTAGTCTTATTATTTAGGAAATTCCATGGGACTACAAATTACAACACTAACTTTCTTCACTTAACCAACGTTAAGTTGACATTCTGAGTAAAAAGCGGAAATGAAAACTTTTGAACCATTATGCCTCTTTTGCTTAACAACAAAGGAATATATGTGAAACACACGCGAAATTCATTATCTCCAATACAACAGTAATCCCATTACTTACCTCTATTTTACTACGCTTCTCAACATCATTTCGCATAATTTCATATACTAAGTTTTGAGCATGTTGTAAGTGACCACAATACTCTCCATATATGAGCAGACTATCTCGAGTTTTAAGGAAAACATCACTTAAACTGAGAAAATTAATAGTTGCACTGGTTGCCAAGCTTAGATTACTTAAGAACTCCCTATGAATAGTATGTAGCTCCTACAAAAAAAATGTAAAAGAATTCAATGAAATTTAGTCGAATAAATCTACTGAGATTGTGGGTGGTAGATATCAAAATGGCATAATCTTCATACATGGGAAGACATTACACCTTTTAAATTGCTACAAACAAATAACATATCCCTAATACAAAAATAAAGTATTCGATGTTAATGAATTATCTTTGAAAGTTAAATCGTTTGCGAACACTTTCGTTTCAAGTAAAGAGCTTATTTACCAAAGAATATTTCACTTGATAAAAAACACAGTGATGCGGTATTATTAACTGATGACGTTTCGAGCACAATTTACTGCTCACATCTATTAGTCATATCAAGACACCTATATAACCAAACTTTATTTATATGATTCTATCATTTCCTATAGCTCGATTTTATTGGCTGTAATATTTTCTATATTTCTGGTATTGGAGTAGTATTTTTCCCATTGCACATGTTAGGTGTGGATTTAATGAACAAAGTAACAGTGATCAACCTCTCTCTCCACCTAACTATATTACTTTTTAACACTTACAAAGTAGGCTGGGACAGGGTGAGAATACTAAAAAGTAATATAGTTAGGTGGACAGAGAGGGATTAATCACTGAAGTTTTGTTTATCGATTCAGCACAGCACACGTGCAATCGGGATGACGCAACGTCTATGCCGGAGATACAGAAAGTGGAAACAGACAACAAAGGGAAGTTGGAGAGACAGAAAGAAAGGAATTATATATAAGACAAATTGTGAAAGCGTATGACTAGAATTGATATGAGTATGAGCTATAATTTATGCTCGAAACGTCATCCAGTTTTTAATACTGAATCGCTGTGTGATATTTAGAATAAACTTATCTAATATGGATTGCAGTTGCTGAATTTTCCTCTAAATTATTCATCTTTTTGAGGTCGGTTATTCTACACTTAGCTAAGTCCCTATGTTCCGATAACCCAACTGACGTCACTGTACTGGGTCGACCTATGTAGTTGACGTCAGAGCCCTTGCAAAATATTTCACAAACTTAATCACTGTAGACTTTATCAAAATAAATTTTATCCATAATGGATTTATACTCTACCGCAGCGCCCAAGTTCTATCCTCATATCAAGACTTATTCATTTATTTGATTGGGTCAATAGGGTTATTTAGCCTACAAAATTTGCCTGCGAATCAGTTTTTAGATTTAAATGTCACTGTTACCTTCTTCATTAGGAACCCTATTCAGAGTTTAATATATGCCTTCTTAATAAGGTGAAACTATAGATGCTTCAAATTCTTCTATGTTTACGTTAATGGTTAACAGTTTTACTGTTAACTATCCCTTTTTATGGGCTTTTCTTGATCTTGAATTTTATTTAGTAATAATGCTTCTCCTGCTATTTCGTCTTATTATTTAGGTTCTCCAATGTACCAATCAGAGTTTTCTCTAGGTTTGTTAGACACTTAACTAGGCCGGTCTTTACAGACAACAGATGAGATGACTTAGTCTAAATGTTTATTCGAGTGCAATGGTTTTTTATAAACAAGCTTTCATTCATGGCACAAACCAACAATCAACGACTATAAGAATTAGTGCTACATTCTGGTTTGGTCACTATTAGCTTCTTTCTAAACAAATCTGACTTCTATCAACTGCATTTTAGGATAGACGACAGGTACAAATGTATAATATGTTTCAACGACTTCAGTTGACAGCGGATTACAACTTTTTGACTGACTTGTTCATCATACCCAAGACTGCGTTTAACTTCCACAGCAGACACCAAATGCACTTCAAAAGCAGTGCTAGCCAAGTAACTAGAGACCAAACAGATCCCACTTCTCCAAAGTTCATACTTCCCAGAATAAGTAGTAAAATAGATCGTAAGCCATATTTGAGACAAAATGACGAAAGCAACGCAATCGATTTGCATCTGTGTCGAGATTTCGCCGGCTATCAATGCTTTCGAGTACGTTGTTTCAGAGTATAAGTTAGGGTTTGTGTAATTATGAAAACAAGGATTTTAGAAAGTACAATAGTCAAGCCAGTTCCTGTGTAACTACATGATTATTTTTTCTTGGTGACTGTGACAACCAGTGAGTAAAACTAGTCAGAGGGCATCAATTTTAATGTACATAATACTGGCTGAAATCTTGATCAGTTTACTTCATAATTCTGGTTCGCACAGCTACATTTAAAAACAGCCGACGACTTCAAAAAACAAAAATTCATGTCTTCAATATGTTAGTTTTTAATAATAATGATAATAATAATAATTTACCTCTATATACTTAAAAATTTCTTCGACTTCGTTGTGTGAAAGAACTCCAATAAGGGGATGTTTGTATTTCTAAATTCACAGCATAAATCAACCATGAATGGTCACATACCTCAATCAACATTTTCAAAACATCAACATAGTTCTTCTCTGTATCCACTATTTCTCGAATACAACATGTTCGCGCGGTTGTGGGCTCAGAGTTTAAATTCTTTATTGATTTAGAATTGCCTTATAAAAACAAACAAAGAAAGTAAATTACTAGACGAGACTTTGATCCTTGGTACACAACTGTATCGTATAGTTTTTCCTTGTTTTCTTCTTCTATTTGAGTAAAGTTAGTTTTTCCAGAATCTGGCAATTTGTTACTAAAATAATGGTAGTTATAGGACTTTTTGAAATGAAACTTCCTACATCGCAGCAGCGATCTCCTCGAGGTTGTTGTAATATTCATGAGAGGACTGAAGCTTCGAATTCTCTGGTGGGAAACCACTAATCTTCCAAATAAAGAAAAAATGTACATCAGCAAACACATACGTTATTCCGGTTAATTGAGCCCTTCTTGAATGGGATAACTTTGACAGTAGTGCAATGGCTTTTCCAAAGTTTTTGGCATGGTAAATATCGCCTGGCTGAAACAGTAAATTTTTGGGGATATCGAATTCCTTTTCACATAGGTGTGTGAACAATCGAAGATTTTGAAAACATAAAAATTGAGAATTTTGAGGCATATGGCTAAAATCTTTCATCGATCTTATGTCTAGCTCATGATTTGACAATGTACTTAAAAGATGGCATAAAGCAACTCCATCCATAAGAGCCTGAACCAAGTGAATTGCATTACCACCTGGTCCCAAAGCTGGATGATCATCTGGGATGATTTGACATCGATTTAACCATTCTGCACATTGTCTCCAGTCGTCTTCCTCCTCCATAGCGACTTTCTGAACTACTATAAAAAGAAAGGAATAAGTGGGCAATATAAATATGGAAAACATATCTGCAACTCAAACAACAAAGCAACTTATTAAATTCTTGCCAAAAATTAATCTACAGTTTTGATTTTTAAAAGGGGATAAATTCGTACGATTGAACTGCGATGAGAATTACTTAACAGATGAACACAAGCAGCTCGAAATCAAAAATAATTTATTTTAATCCAAGCTCAATAACACAGAAGCTGAAAACCAGCCAAATTCTAATAAATTAAAATATGAAGCTAGTAGCAACATCAAAATAAAAAAATCAACCATAGACAAGAGAGCCAGACCTCAACCGAGCCCTAGTCTGACAAACTAAATGAATTTCGGCTGCTTAATCACGATTTGCAAAAACAGGTGTGTTTCCCCTGAAAAGTTACGTTGAATATGCTCTCTGACCAAGATGTGTATTTACACTTTTCCCCAAACTCCAATGAGTAATTCATTTTGTCAGCCTATCGTATTAGCATTACTTTGTGATCGTCCAAATCTTGATATCATCTGTAAACAGTAAGGTTGGTAAATAAGTTATATGTGGAGCAGAAATGGCGATGGGCCTAGAACGGTGCCAAGAAAGACCTCAGTCTAACCCTAAACAAACGTGTTATATTATCTGACCCGGACCGTTTTGTTTCACTGCGCACTCGCCGGCAGGACAGCTTATCAACTGCTTTGTTAAGGTAGATGAATACTTCATTAACCGGTTGATTACCTTCCCAAGCTTCTACCTATTTTTCCCTAGCTATCAGTAACTTTGTGTTAGCATGATCGTTCTGGTTTGAATTCATCCTATTCTTCGGCCAATAATTTCGGTTTATCCTCCATACGAACTACTGTTAGCTCCCTAACGAGTTTTTTCTTTACTTTAGCGACAACGACTGACAGATCCACAGGTTGTCAACCTGACACTAATTGCCTGTTTCCCTGTTCGAAGGAAGGGTTGATAACACCTTTCTAATCCATAGATAGCTCGGACTGAAACGGAGACATTGAAAGTACCCATAAAGAGTAATTATATAAAATAGATTGAGGAGAATATTAGTCTACTTTGTCAGGCTCTAGTGATTTATCTGACCTTAGTTCAGACGGCTGCCGAAGCACCACTGCACTATATGCCGCCACAAGGGGCATTTATATGACGTCAATAGTAACCTTGCTATGTCAGACGAGCAAACACAGGATAAGTATTCGAAGAGATTTCCGGCCTTCGCTTTCTATGACTCATCCACCACATAAAATGTCTACAAGCGCTGTTATACTACTGTTTACTTTAGGTCAACATCCCATATATATATATATATATATATATATATATATATATATATATATATATATATATACGTGACTACAAACTTTTATGAATGTGTAGGCAGTCCAGTGTTAACGACTTGCCATCTATGCAACCTTTCATAACCATAAACTTGTACAGGTTCTAGATTTCGAATTATTCTCATAAGAGCTACTCCCTTAATGCCTCGGTTAAATAGTTTATGAAAATGTTCGCTTCCTCAACAATCGATGCGTCTTTCTCTTTACGCTGACTGACTAAGTTTCAAGATAAAACTTGGTACAGAATTGCAGCAGTTCAGGTTGCCACACTCCATGTGGCACATAAAGATATTTTTGAATAAGGCATTAAGAAGACATTTCGCGAGATGATATCATTTCGTGGTTTCTTTACAACCGCTTTACAACCAACATGGTTAACAGTAATAAAATAAAGTTCATGACAATTACTCAGTTAAATAAAAAACAAAAGTACATACTAATGGCCAATCATATTTAAAAGGCCATGTAGTCCATGGTAGGCGAAGATTGAAGTCTATTGATATATATAAAGATATAGCAGAGAAAGGGGAAATTCAAAAGAACTATAATAAGCAGAAATGTGCAGCAGAAAAAGTAGTAACATGGAAAGCCAAGAAGGTTTAATTGATATGGGAGACTACAAAAAGTGAGAACGATTTTTAGCCACATGACTGATGGTCTCCTGTCATTGGATCTTAGCATCCAGAGACCCAGCCAGGAAGTCTATACTGCCCTCCGTGCCTGGTTCAAATTAACTGTCTAAGACTTCATTGATTGATGCCAAGTTTTCATTTGACCGTCTGACCATTTTCCAACCTAACCTTATTTCTTCTAACATTGCTCACCGAAGCAGTTGGTAGATCGGCATGCTCAACACTTGTCCTGGTCATTTTTAATCCGTTAGATCGACAACCTCATTGAATGACTTTCCTTCCTCAACTAACACTATTTATAAACTCAGTATTGCACCCATATTACACCAATTAACACATGAGATACTACACAAACATCTGTGGTCAAAGACAGCGCTTTCATATCTTCCACTTTCAATGGGCATTTCTCACAGCCATGACAGAAGATAGAGCAAACTTCTGCGCAGTACATACGTCCTTTGATCAATGACTCGATATTACGTCTACGCCAGAGACGATAAAATTTAGCATATGCCACAACATCCATTTGCAATCGAGCTGAGATGTCATCGCCAATAAACGCCCTAGAGCTGATGCGACATCTCAAGTAAATGAAGTCGTCCCCACGCTCTACTGCTAAACGTCACATCTTTCAGGGAGGTTTCGGTGCAGCACAGGCCAACGACATCTCACATTTGGTATCAGCAGGATCTCTAACGCTCCTGTGGCCAGACTTCACTAGAAATTGAACAAAAATATAATGAACGATGAAAACGCCTTATTGATACAGCGTGTACGATTCGTGTCACACTTTAGGCCTTCATTCTGATCAGGAAAAGAGGAACGGTAAGGAATTACGGGTAGGTTAGTAACGATTCCCGTAACTTTACGACATCAGTATTGTGAGTCTGCATATTCGTGTCCAGTTTTAAGCTCTGAGTTTGATTTTTCAGCATCAACCCCTTGTCAGGAGACAAATATCCCATACAACGCCCTGGCAGGTTCCTTTTATTAAAGAACGAAAAAAATGAACAGAAAAGTGCAGCACTAGGTTACGCAGATGTAGAGGACAATGTCGAAGTCACTACCCAACGTGTGTTCTTAACGATGGGGAAAATCTACCAAGAGAAGATTGACAATATTGATATAATAAACTTTAGCTAGTGAGGCGGAATGCCAGCTTTCGAAAACCATAGCTGAACATAGCAATATACGGATTTCCCAGATCTTCGAAATACGAACGTAAAGAACAATAGCATCCAATAATTTTTACAAATCCCAATAGTCACGCAAAGTTGTTTCGATTTCTTGAATGACCATATGCAGCTTGTGTAGGATTACAAATGTGTCTTAAATTCGCAAAGATAACGGTGACTCCAAACCACAAATGGTCTAATGTGGGAGTAGAATTCGCGCACTATAGTGGAACATAGTTTCATATTAGGTAAATTTACTTGATATATCACAGTGATACAGTATTATTTACTGACGACATTTCGAGCGCAATTTACTGCTCATAACAATTTATTCACATAGCTTCATAATCCACTTCGTATACTTTTTTGTCTCTGTAACCAATCACCTAATCTTTTTCAGTCGAACCAATTCCAAACACGTGCAACCGAAATGACGTAACCCTTATATCCGGACGCATGTGAAATTGCAATAAACACTGAAAAATGTGTAAGGCAAATTATGAAGCTGTAAGTTTATACGATTATGAGCAACAGATTGCGCTCGACACGTCATCCAGTTATTAATACTGTATCACTGTTATATCAAATAAGCTTACCTAATACAGAAGAAACACATGATGAACGTCAAGAAAATCAGATGGACTGGAAACTGTGATCAGTACCTTATGATCAGCCAAAACACACCAAGTACACACTGTATGTTGATAAGCTGAAATATGTCAACATTTCCAAACCAATAAAGGTTCCACTTAGCGCAGGAATGTCGAGTAATTCCTTGGAAATCACACCACAGAATGTACAAAATATTTAGAACAAATAGTTATACATATACATAGATAAGTAGAAAGAGGATTAATAAAATTCCGGATAAATCTGCTGAAGACGCCGTGGCTAACACAGCGAAATGTTCAGAAAAATCTCGTTTTGATTTTCGTAAGACGCTGGGATTTATTTAAATAATTTATAATGAATCAATCTGACTCGACGCTCAAATTATTCCAGGAAGTTCGTAACACCTACGGTCTGGAAACCTATAATCAAATGGTTATAGACTTCGAAATTCTGGTTGCTTAACTTAGACTGCGTGTTTTCCAAACAGGTGTGAATACTCATTCTTTGACCCTCTAGTGCAACCTCCAAACAAACGTACCTCAATGCGAAATTAGAAATTAATGTCTCACATGAATGTAGACCCATGAATACTGAAGCCACAATCAGTAGACAACTTTTTTGTCAATCTTTGAAGTGTAACGGTTAAAATTGAATGACAATATACAAATCACGACGCGATCCCTCGATTTTTCAGTCGCAACTATGAGAACACGAAAAAGTTGTCGTGGAAAGGGAGGTGATAATGTACTGGAAACGGAGACTTTCGTGAGTATGCAGATAACTCAGTGAAGTAACCTGAAAGAGATGTCCCTTACCCCCAGATAGGGGACACAGGAGAAACTAGTATACAAACCTGCTGGTATATTAACACTAAAGTCACACTGACTTCCTCTTAGGGAGATCTTACTCAGTGACAGCCGTAATTAGAAAGCATTATCGTTCGGAACCAAAGAAAAAGCGAAGGTTTCCACAATTAGCGAAGTTCTGTACGGGATAACATGAATATATGAATATCATCAACCTATGGATGAGTCCTAGTGTCAATAAATACGATCTTGAGAAAAACATCCGTATATCTTTGTTTCAAATCAACGCATGTGTCTACGATGCATGATTGATGCATAGAGACAGACAAAAATTTCATACAAAACTATCAGTCGGTCAATGATCTAAACGAAAGACACTCAGACCAACACATGAATTGGCCAATTCACCACTTGCTCGTCATGCTATACCATCAAGCTTATAACTCATATGGCAACAGAAAAGAACAGATACCAGTCAAATGACCTAGGACCACCCAATCCTGTGCTTCTAGGTAAAAAGTGCCACCTGAAGCATAAAAAGTAGGCTTGCTGAGTATTCATATATATATATAGAGTGTTATGTAGGGTGTATGTCTCTAATATGCTGCGAAAAGAAGTCCCAGTTTTCCATAGTGGTGGCTATAGACATATACCACTCCAACCCTTCGACAGGATCTGTGTGAGTGTCAGCTATAGGATTCATTAACTCTGACGAATGATCGACTTTATGATGAATACGTCCTGACGATGTTGGTCTCATTGCTCAGCATTTCAAATGGATACTGTCCATAACCTCCGCTGCAACTTCCATTATAACCTTAACTCTACCGCTATTCTTCTTTGAAAGTTACACCCTAGCCCTGATACACAGTGAAAATTGCGACGAAGATTATGGGAAGCATCCATTTGTAGTGCTGAGAGATCTAATTGGTTGGCTCGAGGTCGTC